CTTGGCACCAGCAGCCAGAAAATTAAAAAAATGTATTGTGATGGGAAAGTCTGCTGTTAGGGACCTCTCTAAAGTACTGAAGAGCAATGGTGTCTTTCTGGAGACTAAGGTGCATCTGATACAGGCCATGGTCTTTGAAATCACTTGCTATGTGTCGGAGAGTTGGACAATAACTAGGGAAGATAGGAGAATTGATGCCTTTGAGCTTTGGTGCTGGAGAAGAGTATTGAGGATACCATGGACTGCTAAGAAAACAGATTCATCCTGGAGAGGGTTAAACCAGAAGGCTCCTTGGAGGCAAGGATTCTGAGGCTTCCTCTAACATACTTTGGACATGCTGTAAGGAGGGACTGGTTCTTAGAGAGGGACATCATGCTTGGTAGGGTGTAGGGACAGTGCAGGAGGGGAAGACCCTCTACGAGGGGGATTGATTCAGTGACTGGAGTAATTGGGATGGGTGTGTCGGAGACAGTGCGATTGGCACAGGACAGAGCCGAGTTTAGCGCTGTTGTACATAGGGTCACTTTGAGACTCAACAGCACATAACAACAATAAAATATACAGTCTTTTTGTCGTGTACTGTCGAGTTGGAACTGACCCACAGCTGACCTTCCAGTAGGTTTTCAGAGGCAGTTAATCACATGGAAAGAGTCTGCCCATCCTTCTCCCACAGAGCAGCTGGTGGCCTAGAACTGCGTGCCTTCAGGATTGCAGTGCAGCTTCTTGCCGCCAGGCCATCAGAGCTCCCTACAATAAGACTCAAAAAACAAAGGAACAAAGATGTTTTTTAAAAGCTGCCAATATTTAGAAATATATATGTAAACACAGCATTTACTTTTTATCTCAGACATCCCAGCTTCTACTGAGTTTACTTACTGTAAAACCTTTATATATTGAACAATTCTGATAAGTCACCACAAGATGGAGGCACACACTGGGAATATGAATGCTGTTTCCAACAATAAAAACTCACACTTGTTGCTATGGACTCAAAAATGACCCTCCAGAGGATGTCAAGTGGCTGTAAATTGCAAAGGAGGAATTGCCATCTTACTCTCAAAGAGCTACTGGTGGATTTGAAGCGCTGAGAGAGAGACACCACCTCTGGCTTAGCAGCGCAGCTCTCAAGAGACCCCACCACGAGAGGCCCCTAGTTTCCAACAGATTTCTATTTAAATTTTATTTGCAATTATAGCTTAAGAAACTGCTTCAGCAAGTCTTACAAACTATAAGAAACCACTGAGGAGGAGGGTGGGAGAGGTTGATTTATATGTTATATTCTAAGAGTTTTTAAAACCAGTTTTAAACGGGTTGTTTAAAAAATGACTCAAAAGAAGCCTGGTTTTACCAATCAACTTCTTCAAAAGAAGCTCCTCTCAGTGTCAGTCTCCACCCTTGGAGGTGTTGCCCTCAGCTTCCTCATCGTTTGCAGAAACTTTGATCTTAAGGCTATGGGTACATGTGCCCTTTGCATTTTGCCCCCAGAATTTCCCTATGACAAGTACGTATTAACATGAAACATAAAAGAAATCAGCAAGTATTAATGATATACTATTCACAAGTAGTGTTACAAAGCAACTTGTTTTATTGTCTTAAAACAGTGCTTCTTTTCAGTAGTTAATTCTTATCTAGTTCAACCACCTGCTAAGAATATGATTTTCCAAGAGAACAAATGTATAGTAAGTTTCTCTAAAACCACCCCAGTGGTGGTGTCACGTGTCATAAAGTCAGCTCTGACTCACAGATTCTACACACAACAGAATGAAACCCTACCCAAATCCTGTGCCATCCTCACGATCTTTTTGCATTCCCGGTACCAATCTACCTTCTCTTCTCTTCTGCTGAACCACTTTTCTAAGCATGAAAAAGTATAGTAGTGTAATGGTCAAATGTTCAGATAAAGTAGCTATAGTACAATAAAAAACAGGGGAGGGGGAGATGAAAGAACAGTTACAGTAAGTATATATGCCAAAACTGAAACTCTGGTGGCCTACTGTATAGTGAGTTGTACACTGCCAACCCAAAGGCAGGAAGTTCAAATTTACCAGCTGATCCAAGAAGAGACTGGCATCTTCACCTGTGTAAATTTTTGAATTTTGTAAAATCAATGACTTATTCATTGCAAATACATTTTATAAGAGACACAAACGCAGGTTATACACATGGACTTCACCTGATGG